CTCGCGCGGTCGCCCACGACGGTGCCATAGTCATCCTAGTGAGCTACAGGATGGTAGAGATAGGGGATAAGCACCAGGGGCACACCGTGAACCCGGCCAAAGTGGTGGTTCGGCCGGCGACTACCTGAGCAGGGCTGGCCACGTGCACGCGACGAGCACAGCGATGAGCCATGGCAGACACGGCAGCGTTAGTGGCGGTGAAGAGGCGGTAGCGCTCCCACTGGTGTGTGCACGGTGGAGAGGGAGCCAAGGCGAGCTAGTGGTGCAGAGGAATTTGCACCGAGTGAAGTGGTGGAGGCTAGCCATGGCGCGGGCAGAGACGGGTCTTAACGGCGCGGTGGCGGGGCGAAGCTCCAAAATTGAGGTTCGGCTGAGCCGCAATCAAAGCGGGATGGGGGCGGCTAGAGAGGGATGTGAGGGTGGATGCGTGGACAAGAGGGATTGATGAGAGGTGACCCCTCGCAGCTGCAGCGCCAATGCGATTCGACGGCAGCAGGGAGACGAGAATAGAGAGAGAGCGAGGGAGCGATGGGGGAGGGATATCCAGCGACTCAGCAAGGGAGTGCCTTGGCAGGACATGGTTGGTGTGACCGGTGCAGCCCACGGCTAGGCACTAGTCGACAGATAGGCACGCTCACGATCGGCGTGGCCCGCGCACCGCGGTACCATCAATAGCAAGGCGAGGGTGACCCGGCCACGTGCGCGCAGCGTCAAGGCGGGCTAACGGCGTAGCACAGGAGCAGGCGTGCAGCGTGGTCAAGCGATGGTGGTGGCAGTGGCGTCATCGCGGCACAGGCGCGAAGGCAGCACCAACGGCAGCCACGGTGGTAGGGGCGGTTGGACGTAGAGCGGACCGGTGGCCTAGCGGTGCGGCCAAGCCACGGCAAGGCCACAGCGGCCACGGCTAGCCGGTGCACGGCCACACACGCGTGCACGGCACAACCACGTGGCGACGCGGGTCGGCCACCCTTGGTGACCACGCGCACGGCGCCAGACAGCACAAAGTTGTGACGTGCCTGAATTTTAAAGCGCTGATCATGACCAAACCGTTGCTCCTAAACCTAAACCGGCTTCACTACACTCAAGATGGCATATGGAACTACTAAATCGAATCATAATACTACACCACTCCTTAACCCAATCTCTCCAAATACATTGCTAAACATAGCAGCATCTAGTTGTCCACAGACTTAGAAAATTTCTAAGCGTTTGAGCTAATCTTAATTTCATATTGCATTTCTAAGCTACTAAAAATATTACTTAGCAATATTCTTTTTCAACAGCAAGTATTTTATTGTCATCTACAAAGTTTGCACTTCCAACTTTATTTAAGTATCACGCACATGTTCTATAGTATTTTTGCTTAATAAAAATTGGTTTTAAACTCTACTTGATATGCATGAACCATCGAACCAACTTTCGTTTACTATTTTTATTGATCATTTTGAGTTACAGAAATTGATCTACACACTTCACCACATGCATTAACACACAAGTATGATGCTCATGACATGTTTTAGTAGATGATTAACGGGGTAACACCGAGGGTGTTACAACATGAGTGCTACAAGATTGCTTAAGGAGTTTTGCCTAAATCCAAATGGTTTTCAAACTACAGTGCTAAAAAGCAAGGTACTTTGAAACTGAAAACCAGTTTAGGACTTAGCAAAATTTTCTAAGTTACACACAGCATTTTGTTGATTTTTGTGAGCTTTGTTTGACTAAGTTAGACATTGATTTACCTCATGACCTTTAAATAAAGTTTGCTACCCTTGATGTGAACTAGAACTTTTATTTAGGTCACACAGTCATACAAATACTCTAAGCTACTGTTCAATTTTGGTCAAACTAGCATCATGAAACTGACATTTCAAATTAAACCAACACTTAGAAGCAAAATTGGTTTATGTCATGAATACAAAAGTTGTTCCATTCACCATCATAGATGTGTCTAAGGTATTGTAGTGACCTTACAACTATTTCACACAATGGTCATACATGATTACTAGCATAAGCATATATATATAATCAACATTTCATGTGAAAATATATAAGAATGAGATGAAATTTCATATGCTCATGTTCATGAATGCTTGGATGATGCTTGTTCTCATGAAATGCAAGTGCCAAATGCAATGCTTAACACTGGGGTGTTACAACGCCCACCGTCTCCGCGGCGCTCGATCTCTTGCTTGAGCTCTGCGCTCTCCTACTCTAGCTGGAGTCGCACATTCTCGAGTTCCCTGTGCCCGCCCTCAACTGCTCCACCCACAGGCAAGGCGGGGCCCCTGCATCTCCCTCGACCTCGTCGTCAAGGTTGTTTGGTGGGGTAGCCCCTTCCTCGTGGATGCTTCCGATGCGTCCCTCGGGGGTGCCTGCCATAAAGCATTCTCGCGAGGGGTGATGGCTCCCCCTGCTGGAGTCAGAGTTGGAGGGCGACTCTAAATCTCCTACGAGAAGGTCGTGAAAAGATTCCGTGACGTATTTAGTCATCCCCATGAACTCGTCGTTCGCAGGGGATGGGTGCATGCGCTGCGCCACGAGGTGGCCAATGGTCCTTACAGCGTTGCGCAGACTGAACGGGAACGCTGTCGGGGCACTCCGAATGAGGTATTCCGGGGAGAGCGGTTCCCCTCTAGCAAGCTGCATCATGACGTTGGCGAATAAGAAGGTGAGGCAGCACATGTCCTCCCAGGACGGTCAGGGTCCTAGGAAGGCGTCGAGCTGGTGCTCTAGCCTCCCGTAATCAAAGCCGAGGAGTTGGTCGCTCCCGGGGGCACAGGACTCCAGCGCGTGCAGCTGTAGCTCCTCAAGCGCCTCGATGACCACGTCGAGGCCGGCGGAGTGGAGAGGCCGGACGGTGGCAGGAGCCTGCACCAACTCTTCCTTCGCCGTCACGATGAATTCCAGGTTCTTGAAGCGCACGTGCGCCCCCAGGACCCAGCTGACGCCATGACTAGCCATCCGAGGCCTGATATGGACGTCGAGATGCGCAAAAGGCCCCAACCTGGCGTGCCAACTGTCGGTGTTTTGGATCACTGGCTAGTAAATTTGTATCTGCGCGTCTGGCCCGGATGGTGGCCTGGATTTATAATGGTTCAAGCGGAATGTCCTTACGTCCAGTCCGGTGCTACTCGTGTTACCGGCACTAGTTTGTAGTAGGGGTTACAAATGGACAAGAAAGGGGGTGGATCCTAGGTCTCTGTTGGAAGGATTGAAGAGTGAGGAGAGTTTGTTCAGTTGTGTGCTCGTTGCCCCTTCTTGGGGTGTCATGCTTCCCCTTTTATAGGTGAAGGGGAAGGTGCAGGTTACAGAGAGAGAAAAGGAGAAAAGCGAGGGAGAAGAAGGCCTCCGGGGTCGCCACATCCTTCTTCTCCTTCATGCGAGTCCCGCCGACGCTGTAGATGGTGACAGGGACGGCTTCACGTCAGGCTTCTGTTCACCACTGGTGCCATGCCCCGACATCATCAGTTGGTCATGGCGTCCCATCCTGTCTCGATGGATGGCATGGTGAACCGACGTGCCTGTCAGCGTCCGTACGGGGAGTAGGCAGCACAGCGACCACGCACCCGTCACTATTGGCGATGTGATCCCCCGGGCGTGGCCTGACGTGGCCATGGGTCACGTCGAGACGTACCCACTTCCCTCCCGGTGTTAGAAGTTTGACCCTAGGGTCGTACCCTTAGACCCATAGTGGTTGGAGGCGGTACGGGTCCCCGTCTGGCGAGACGGAGCCCACGCCGCAGGGGTCGGGCGAGACAGAGCCCGTGCCCTCAGGGTCGGGCGAGACGGCTCCCGTACCCTTGGGGTCGGGCGATATGGGGCCCGTGCCCTAGGGGTCGGGCGAGACGGAGCCCGTGCCCTCAGGGTCGGGCGACACGGAGCCCGTGCCCTCAGGGTCGGGCGAGACAGAGACCGTCCCTTCGGGGTCGGTTGAGACTGAAACACATCCTTGTTTATCTAGGTGAGTCGTCGTTCGAGGTCCTCAGATACCCTCTTTAGGTATCCCTAATATTGATACCCGACACCATGTGGCACTGAGCACCTATAGCCTAGAGATTCCTAGCTAGGTCTTGCTCGCATCCTAATCTAAAAGAGCACACTTTTAGAGCAAGCCGAATAAATTTGGCTTTAAGACAAACCACGTCGTCTTTAGACAAGCTGTAAAGATAAGGCCTTCAATAGCTTGGGCGCTTGGATCCTCACACAACCCAAAGTTTAATTTTTTTTTAAACAGACCTACCTATTAGATTAGGATGCGAGCAATGTGGGCGAGCATTGGGCGTGTGGGGTGTGGTGATGTTGCTGAGAAGAACAATTCGCATGTCACATATATTTTTGTGTTACCTTGAATTGTTCTTCACAAACTTTTCTCTCATGTATGGACTTGCAGTTAGATTTGATGTATGGACTCGCGGCTTGAACTTGATGTATGTTTTGATGCATTGTGAGATTGTAGACTTGATGTGATCACACCACTGATGTTATTAATTATTATGCTATATTTAAATTAATATTCTAAAACTACATTATCATCGTTGTCCCAATATAGACCGTTGGTGATATAGTAAATCGGTGATGCTGAGGTTCTCATCATCGCCGAATCAAATGCTGCACCAACGGTGATGAGCTCTTTCTCACCGTTGGATGGTACACCGGACAAGCGGTGATGAACTCTACATCATTGTCAGATCGTACGCCACACCCGATAGTGATGAACTCTTCGTCACCGCCAGATCATTATATGCTACATCATCAATAATGAAGAGATCATCAGTTCATCACCACCCGATGGTAAGCCAGACCAGAGGTGATGAAGAGTTCATCACCACCGGCCCGGATGGTGCACCAGACCAGTGGTGATGGAGATGACATCACCGCTAGATCGACGCTTGGCTTTTTAAGGTAATGGATATGATACCATCATTCCTTTCAAAACAGAACCTTGTTCTAACTTTCCAGAGCGCCCAAGTGCTCAACACACAGCAGCAAACATATCGCTAAGCATTCGTGAAGCGCCCAGTGTAGTCAAACCCCTTTCGAGTCGTTGGGAAAACGACGAACACCATGCTGGAAAGGAAGCCGGCGCCGAGGGGTAGGTTGGTCAGCAGCTGCTTGACGTTGTTGCTGGAGTCAGGGAAGTAGCAGCTCTGCACGGCGGCATCGCTGAATGCCACTGTTAGGAACCACGACTGAGAACAGCGCGTGCATGTAGTCCACCCACCGTATCCTGAGCGTATGGAGGTTCTTGAACACCTGCCTCCTCCGCTCGGCATCCTCCTCCTCGCGGTCGCCGCCGTCGTCACCGGTGTAGTTGAACACGAGGAAGCCCTTAGCCGTGGCCAGGCCGTAGTAGAGCTTGCCGTCGGCGCTGACGAAGCTGTCGGTGAAGGAGTAGAAGACGCAGGAGACGAAGCAGAGGTAGAGCAGCGCGGCGGTGAGGTACCGGTTGGACGCCAGGCACGCGCCCCGGTTGGTGAAGGACGGGGACAGCGAATGGAACGCCAGCGCCGTCCCCGTCGGCAGGAGCTTCGCGAGGTTGGCCATGCTCGCCAGCGTCTTGTCGATGACCTTCGGTGCCGCCGTCGTCGTGGACGCAGGCGAGGGCGCCTTGAGCTGCACTGGCGGCGGGGTGCTCCCGCTCATGGGGCTCGTCGGCGCCGCTGCGGAGCTCTCGCGTATCAAGTCTGCAGCGGTGGCCGTGCTGGGCTGCGGTATCTGGATACGGGCGTCGCCTCCGCTCGGTATACTCGCGGGCGGCGCAGCCATTGTGAGCAAGAGATCGAGCCGGCTGGGCACTGAAGTGACCTTTGGTATGATATGGCTCGGCTCGGTCGTTGATGGGGCTCTGTGGTGCTGTACGCTAATGGCAACACCCGTTCAACGTTCATCCTCCAATAATAAGTTATACCCGGCCCTAGGGCCCCTCTCCAGACGTCGCTCCCACGCCTGCTCCGTTCCGCACATCCCACCCACTCAGATTCTGCGCTGCTCGAATGGCTCGCCCCACCCACACCGTCCATCCCCATGCAGGTCCACATCACCCGATCACCGCCAATATCGAGAAGAGGAGACACCGAGGTGAGGCAGCATAAAACGACGAGGGAGATGTAACACCTGGTCTACTTTTAAAACATTCAAATAAAATATTTGCAACATGCCTTCGAAAATAGTTGAAACACTTGCAACATACGTGTGAAACACTTATAAAAACACATGAAAACACTTGAAAAGCCATTGCAAAATATATGCAACATCCAGATAAAACACATGCATCATATGTATAAAACACGTACAACATTCAGATAAACACACTTGTAACATATGTATGGAAAAATAACTGAAACATTGGGAACAAAAGCATGCAACATACGTGTACAACCATTGCAACATATGTAACATCTCGATCTACTTTTGCAACATCCACATGAAACGCTTGCAACATCCAGATGAAACATCTAAAACACTTGAAATATACTCTTGCAACATGCGTTTTCAGCGCGCAATGTCACATTGCTGATTGGACGAATCACGGAGCTCGAAGCCGCCAGGGCGCATGGAGCTCGCCGGTGCTCCCCTGGGCGAGGACCTGCTCAGCGGCCTAGGTGAGCACCTGCACGAGGCGCCGAGCACTTGCTCCGCGGCCTAGGCCAGCGCACCCTGGGCACGGCGGAGGACGCGCTCGGTGCGGTGGGGGACGAAGGAGCTGCGGGGGATGGCGGTGGAGGCTCGCCGGAGTGGCCTAGCAGGGTCAGCGGCCGAGCGCTGGAGGCGACAGGCGAACGGATAGGAGCAAGTGAGCGGATAGGAACAAGTACATGGACGAGCTGATTTTTTTATTTAGAAGAAACGGAGGAGCAGGGTCTTGGGCTGGCGACGCGCGGCCCACCAACGGACCGTCTGGACGTCCGAGCACCTATGCCCTGTTCGCTTGGCTGATAAGCCATGGCTGAAAGTATTGTTGGCTGATTTGTTGTGAGAGAAAAATATTATTCGTTGGCTGAAAAAGTATGACTTATAAGCCAAGCAAACAGAGCGCTACTTGCTAGCATTTGCGGAAGTTATATGGAGACCAAGCTTCTGCTAACATACATATTTCTGGGACCGTATGCATAGTTTTTTTTAGAGAAAAGATCTTATGCACATAGTTGATACTAGTAGTTCACGATATACGGACGTGATGCTGATTTTGTACAATGATGCTCGGTTGGCACGAAGCATATTCTCTCTCTAGATAGAAGAAAGAAAGTTCTCTCCCAAAAAGAACTTACTAACCGATTTATATATTGTTGTGAGCATATATATGCAAATGTAATAACACTGTCCAATATTATGTTGATATAATATGGGCTTCGCCTATATAATATTTAATAAATCAAATAAAACTCTATGGTACGTAATATTAAGTGTTGTATGGCTTAATACCATACGGGATTTTGACTGAACGTTGACTCAGCTTATATGGTTTATTTATCTAAATTGAGAAGCTGAGAAAAGGATAAAAGCGTGCCACACGCGCGTGCGCCGCCGCCGCCGCCGGCCGGGCCGGGCCGTGGGCGTGGCGGGCGGTGAGCGGACGGACCTAGCCAGTCTTTTGCCACTTAAATCCACATTATCATGGGAGTTTCGCTCCTTGATGGTGGAGGCGAATTGACTGCGTCAGTTACCGCCCCTTCCGTTTCCCGTCTCCTGGGATTCTCCGCTGCCTTCATCTCCTTCCCCGGTCGCAGCCATATATCCACAGTGCTCCATCAGTCCAGACCCTGTCTTCCGCAGCCCTCTGTCTTCCCCCGTCCCGTACCTTTACGCGCACGAAGTAGCGGGAGAGCAGGTGCCTCCGGAACCCTCGTTCGCGAGAGAACCTTGCCTACAATAAAAGCAGAACTCACAGCATTAGACACTGCTGGATCTGAGGCTGAGTGGCTTCGTGATCTTCTTATGGATTTACCGGTTGTTGAAAAACCCATACCGGCTATTTCTATGAACTGTGATAACCAGACTGTGATTACGAAGGATAAAAGTTCTAAGGATAACATGAAGTCCACAAGGCATGTTAAGAGACGACTAAAATCTGTCAAAAAATTGAGAAACTCCGGTTGCCCGATTGACCACAATTCGAGTTTTGCTTTCCCTGGCAACCTCTTATGGTCTTATCATTCATCAAATGGACGTTAAGACAGCTTTCCTAAACAGAGAGTTGGAGGAGGAGATCTATATGGATCAGCCTGATGGGTTTGTAGCAAATTGTCAAGAAAGCAATGTGTGTAAATTATTAAAGTCATTATACGGCCTAAAACAAGCTCCCAAGCAATAGCATGAGAAGTTCGATAGAACTTTAACATCTGCTAGCTTTGTTGTGAATGAAGCTAACAAATGTGTGTACTATCGGTATAGTGGGGGTGAATGAGTTATTTTGTCCTAATATGTTGATGACATACTGATTCTTGGATCCAGCCTCAAAGTGATCGAGGAGGTGAAGGAATTTCTATCTAAAAATTTTGAGATGAAATATTTGGGAGAGCCTGATGTTATTCTTAATATCAAGCTTCAAAGAGAAGGTGATGGTGGGGTAACTCTGTTACAAACCCACTATGTGGAAAAGGTGCTGCGTCGCTTTGGGTTCAGTGATTGTGCACCTGCTCCTATACCTTATGATCCTAGCGTGCTATTGAGGAAAAATCGGAGAATAGCAAGGGATCAGTTGAGATATTTCTAGATTATTGGTTCGCTCATGTATCTTGCTAGTGCAACAAGGCCTGATATCTCATTTACTATGTGCAAGCTGAGCCGGTTTGTGTCAAACCCAGGAGATGATCACTGGCGTGCTCTTGAGAGAGTGATGCGCTACCTAAAGGGACCATGAGCTATGGTATTTGCTATACCAGACATCCAAAAGTGCTGGAAGGCTATTGTGATGCCAACTGGATTTCTGATGCTGATGAGCTTTATGCCACAAGTGGATATGTGTTTTCGCTTGGAGGTGGTGCTGTTTCCTGAAAGTCTTGCAAGCAGACTATCTTAACGAAGTCTACAATGAAAGCAGAACTCACAGCATTAGACACTGCTGGATCTGAGGCTGAGTGGCTTTGTGATCTCCTTATGGATTTACCGGTTGTTGAAAAATCCATACCGGCTATTTCTATGAACTGTGATAACCTGACTGTGATTACGAAGGTTAAAAGTTCTAAGGATAACATGAAGTCCACACAGGCATGTTAAGAGACGACTAAAATCTGTCAGAAAATTGAGAAACTCCGGAGTAATAGCGTTGGACTATGCTCACACGTCTAACAATCTGGCAGATCAGTTCACTAAGGGTCTATCACGCAACGTGATAGAAAGTGCATTGAGAGAGATGGGTTTGAGACCCACTTGAAATTTACTATAGTGGTAACATGTTCTATATGATCGGAGATCCCATGAAGTAGAATGGTGAAACAAGCTAGTAGTAAATTATGAGGAAAGATCCTTAGTAAGACTCATTTCTGATGCATATCTTTCCTTTCTGTAATGCATGATGGCTTTTGCCTTAATGTGTTCCAAGTGGCTTGTCAAAACAAAGATGTTGTCCTACAGAATATCTTTTAAGGAACACACCTACATGAGTCAGACTGCTGGTCACAGTCTATGAGAGTGACGAAACGCTTAAACAAGTGACGAGAGAAGAGGAAGAGGAGTCCAAGTCAAGGCATCTTGCACTACACTGCATACTTCCCCTGCAAGGGAAACGGTTGGGTAGCATTCTCTCGAAAGCTTGTTAGCAGGACTTTGTCGGCAGGCCAGTCAGAAACCAAGGTCGCTATGTGAGTCTCTAGTGCCAAAATATGTGTGATGGTGACCAAAGACTAAGGGTTTGTTTGGTTCACGCCCTAAAATATCTGCCTGCCACAAGCAAACATCACAGGCATCTGTTTTTGGACGCCCGGGGTCAGATGCATGTGCCTGGGTGCAACCCCTAGGCCAGGGCTCAAATTCAAACAGTCCATAACTCACACAAGTCCCTAGAACAATGCAGAGTGCTGATTAACTGACCATACATACAAAGTGTTGATTTGCTGTATGAATTGTTATTTGAATTGTTGATCTTTGAAGAGAGTATCCTGAAAGCAATAGTTTTAGGTGTTTGGTTGACGGCGGGCCTTAGGCTGGCCCAATCTGTTGAATCGGCCGTGCTTCGTTGGTCAGGCTCATGGCCCTATTAGGCATGGCCCTATGGCACGGCGTGCTATTCCTGGCCTGGCCAAAGCAGGTCATGCTTTGGCCGGGCCCAATGTCATGCCGTGTTGGACGGCCTGAATGGCCATCTATACCATCATACTACTAAACATCTGTAACACCCCGGTGTTATGCCTACATTTAGGCACTGCAAATCACGCATATCATGCATCATCAAGCATCCTAATCATGCATGCATAATCTTGCATATAATAACTGAAACATTACTTCGAAACATACGAAACATGTTTGTGAAATGTAAATGATGCATATACTTATTAGAGTTGTTTTGCTCTGATTCTTGCTTGCTAGGTTAGTAGAACTTGTTTGGTTATGATTGTAAATCATCTAGAATTGTTTAGCACAATTTTTGGAGCAAGGTTTGTATTTGAATTATTGCCAAATTTTTCTTTAAAAATAATTCTCAAAAATTAGGGTTTTGAGTTAAAATTTAACTTTGATTGTATAATTTAAAATATAGATAGAATTAGACTTTGGTCATAAAAGCAAAGTTGTAGAGAATTAAATTCTAAACAACTTTCATTTTTGGTACA